GAAAAGACAATAATGCTGGGAAAGGTGGGAGGCAGCAGGAAAAGAGGAAGACCAAATACAAGATGGACTGACTCTCTAAAGGAAACCATAAGGTTGAGTTTAGAAGGGACGAGCAGGACTGTTGAGGACAGGACACTTTGGCGATTGCTCATCCATGAAACTAGGAACTCAAAATCAGAGCAGACTGATCATCTCCAGGCAGATTCTTGTGTTGTTTTTGCTACAACAGACTTCCTCCTTTGGAGGTGGGGTGGGGAGAACATTTTATTTGGAATAGAAATTTATTGCAGATGAGGTATGCAAAAATGTTAATGGGGGCTCAATATTTGACATGTACCCAGATATGATGATGCAAGAAGAACAATGAACTTAGTTTCTGAACCAATGCAAGTCCACAAATGAATCGTTGCTGTACAGGTTCTCTACTATGGAATATCCAGTGTGTGGTGTAGTGGGTATAGTGACAGTCTAGAACTTGGGAGGATTGGGTTCAAATCCCCACTTAGCCATAGAAATTCACTGGGGACGTGGAACTGGTAAAGGTTCCCCTTGACATTTAGTCCAGTTGTGTCCGACTCTAGGGGATGGTGCCCATCCCTGTTTCCAAGCCATAGAGCCAGCGTTTGTCCAAAGACAGTTTCCGTAGTCACGTGGCCAATGCGACTAGACACAGAACGCTGTTACCTTCCCACCAAGGTGGTCCCTATTTATCGACTCACATTTGCATACTTTCAAACTGCTAGGTTGGCAGGAGCTGGGACAAGCGACGGGAGCTCACTCTGTCGCATGGATTCAATCTTGCGACGGCTGGTTTTCTGACCTTGCAGCGAGGCTTTTGCGGTGTAACCTGTAGCGCCACCACGTCCCTTGCAGAACTGGTAAATCCCCTCCTTAAATATCTCATTTACTTTACCTTCAAATCCCTATTATCAGGATAAGGCAGTTCCAACTTTAAGGCACATAGCTACAGCTATATTTACTCTACTATAGTAGATAAGAACTATAGAATCCCATGGAAAAGCTACCAGCAATAGAGAGTGCAAATAAGGGGAAAATATTTTGTAGTAGAATTTTTCTTGTGGGGAAAGGTGTCATGTGGGGAGTTTGATAGTGAGAGATCAAATTGAACAGCCTTGCAGTCCTAAGCCTGAAACCTGTTGAGCGTAGTGAGTTTCATTTTGGTGGTAAACCCAAGTGCTGAGTATACATGACACAGAGATTATGTTGCTATATATGTGATATACATTTACTTTTGGCTAAGTACTACTTTAAGGGGATGTGGTGGCACTGCAGGTTAAACCGCAGAAGCCTCTGGGCTGCAAAGTTGAAAGATCAGTTCAAATCCACGCGTTGGAGTGAGCTCCCATCGCAAGTTCAAATCCACGTGTTGGAGTGAGCTCCCATCGCTTGTCCCAGCTCCTCCCAACCTAACAGTTCAAAAACATGTAAAAATGCAAGTAGATAAATAGGTACCACCTCGGTGGGAAGGTAAAACGGCGTTCCCTAGTCACGCTGGCCACGTGACAACGGAAACTGTCTTTGGACAAGCGCTGGCTCTACGGCTTGAAAAACGGGATGAGCACCGCCCCCTAGAGTCGGACACGACTGGACTAAAAATGTCAAGGGGAACCTTTACCTTTACTAAGTACTACTTAACACAGCTGGGATTTACAGGCCAGTTGTTCAAGTTGACTCAGAAGCCCCTGCATTGCCCAAGAGATCTTACAGATAACTACCTGCATCCCAAAATCCAGTGGTAAGGGTTCTCCTTGACATTCAGTCCAGTCATGTCCGACTCTAGGGCGCGGTGCTCATCCCTGTCTCCAAGCCGTAGAACCAGCGTTTGTCTGTAGACAGTTTACGTGGTCATGTGGCCAGCGTGACTAGACATGGAACGCCATTACCTTCCCACCGAGGTGGTAACTATTGATCTACTCGCATTTTGCATGCTTTCGAACGGCTAGGTTAGCAGGAGCTGGGACGAGCGACGGGAGCTCCCTCCGTTGCGTGGATTCGATCTTACAATGGCGGGTCTTCTGACCTTGCAGCACAGAGGCTTCTGCGGTTTAACCCTCAGCACCACCACATCCCTTCTAGAAGCCTCCTAGGGGTAAATATAATGGGGACTCCATCATTAAAATGACAAAGTGCCGTGACGGAGGACGGGAGAAATTCAAAGAGTGCTTGTAACTCTGATCTCTAGTCAAAAAGAGGCAGATGATGACACTATGGTTGTACTTATCATGCTTCTTCCAAATCCTGATCTCTATGCTAAATAAATAGATTCTCAATCTCCTAACCCACAACCGTTTTCTGTAGTCCACAGAAACTGACCACATGGACTTCATTTCAGATGACTCAGACAAAGAAGCCAAGCTGCAGATGGTAGTAGATACATGGTGGGCATGGATGAGTCAAAAATACAACTGAGTTCACAGATCATACCAGTTTTTTAACCTATTCTGTCATGTTTTGATACTGCCGTGGAAACAGCAGGTGCTAACAATTTGTCTTTTTTTATTATTTTGGTGGAACATGCTTAACTCTCCCAACAATAATCAGGGTTAACATGGTGGGTCAGGTGATCTCCCTTTAGGAAAAATAATCATTTTATTGACAATATTCATTAGCAATTTGAACCACTGGGCAGGTGGAAAAAGTCACTTTTATAAATGGTAACGCAGGGTGTGGTCCCACTGGCTATTTGAATCAATTCCTATTCCAACTTTTTAAATACCAGGTTCAAGTTATATGGTATATAAATCGGTACCTGGGTTCACTTTGACTGAAATTAAATTGACTTATTTCTGGTA